TGTGTGTGTGTGTGTGTGTGTGTGTGTGCTGTGTGTCATGCATTGCACACGCGGTCATTAAATGATTTTCTCAGTTCTTCCAGTCTAACTACGGCTTTTAACAAGGACTTCTTATCAAAGACAAACTTACATCTCATAGATTATGTGTGAGGAGTTATACGTCTCTAATGGCTCACGCACCATTAGTCTGTTCACCAGCTCTCATGTGTGAAAGCATATTGTGCATATACACATTCGCATACACATGTCAGCCATTTTGCCGGTAAAAGCCCAGTTTTGAGTGCTGACAGGCTGCGTCTTCCACACAGCTTCCATTGTTGCTGTACAGTGTTATGGCTTGATTTTATAACTTGTGTCAAAACAACATAAGCTGCACAAGAACTTTTGGATTTGTTATCCATTGCTATTTTATTTCTATGTGCAACTTTTTCTCTCTCTCTCTCTCTTCAAAGACAGCATCATAATGTAAACAGGGAAAATTAAAGCCCACATTTAAGTGAAAGAGGAAAGACATTGCCCTCTAATGAAATAAAGAACCTGAGAATAAAACATTAAACAGGTGTTTAAAACACAGGTTACAAATGAGTAAATAAATAAATACCATCATGCAAAAATGCATATATCTGCAAGACATCTCTGTGGCAGTTTATATCTGTCACTTCACTGTAAATTCAAATGAATAATTATGAATGTTCAGACACAATATTTTTTTCAGTGACGTCATTTACTGTATACATGTATATATTGTCACGCAGCGCATAATCTAGAAACCAGAAAAAATGTCCTTCAACACCGTTTTTTTTGTGTGTGTGTGTGTGTGTGTGTGTGTGTGTGTGTGTGTGTGTGTGTGTGTGACAGAGCCAGGCCTCATTTGAGTCCATTATTGATTAGACACGCAACCCCAACTGGTTTCAAAATAATTAATTGTTTTCAATAATATTACAAATACATAACACACATTGCACGCTCTTTTTTCCTTTAGAATTACACTTTCACATTTAAAATATGACTATGCTATTGAAATTGCAAAACGGTTACTAATGGTTAAAATAAACCTACAGAGAGAGAGAGAGGATTCAAATGATTATGAATGTTCAGACACAATATTTTTTTCAGTGACGTCATTTACTGTATACATGTATATATTGTCACGCAGCGCATAATCTAGAAACCAGAAAAAATGTCCTTCAACCCCGTTTTTTTTTTTGTGTGTGTGTGTGTGTGTGTGTGTGTGTGACAGAGCCAGGCCTCATTTGAGTCCATTATTGATTAGACACGCAACCCCAACTGGTTTCAAAATAATTAATTGTTTTCAATAATATTACAAATACATAACACACATTGCACGCTCTTTTTTCCTTTAGAATTACACTTTCACATTTAAAATATGACTATGCTATTGAAATTGCAAAACGGTTACTAATGGTTAAAATAAACCTACAGAGAGAGAGAGAGGGAGAGGAGGGCGAATACACGCTTATACCTGGCGCCAGAACAAACCGATTTCTCTCTGAAACTCAACTTGGACTTTCTTATGATAATATATCAAAGACAGAGCTTTAACTAAGTGACTCGGCGGTTATAAATAAGCCACAGAATATTAATTTTTTTAAATCAGAAAGCATTAAACCCTCGTCGAGAAACGAATGAAGGGCCAAACATTATGAATCAAGCTCTTGTAACTACCTGCGTTTATGGCCACTTGATTCGTTCACTAATAGCAGATGATCCAGCCGCCAGATGCTGGTCTGTGCTTTACTTGCAGCCGACATTAACATTTTATAATATTGTTTAATTAAACACAATTATAGTTATGATATTTGACTGCATTGAGGTATGAAAAAATAATTAAAAGTAGTGACGGACGGTGTCTCATTAAAAAAAAAATTATCATATTCAAGACGCTTCTCGGCCATACCTGCAATTTGGTAGGCTAATTACGAAACGGCAAACTGTTGAGTTGAGAGAATAATAATAATAATAATAATAATAATAATAATAATAATAAATTTGAAATGTGTGTATATTACATAATTTGCGTTTTAAAAATAGCTTCAATAGCTTCAATATAGAAAAACGTAACATGTATAATTTTAAAGAATCATTTTAATTATGCTTTTTTCTAAAATAATAATAATACACAAATTGTTATAACATCTGCATACTCTCTCCATCATTTAAATGTAAATGAATTCAGATAAATATGAAACAACAGTACATTAAATCTCCATGCATCCGTGAGCAACTGAATTTATTGTGAACACGGGAACCCGTAGACTTTAATAAACACCTTAACTCTATGATATCGGAGACAGATTGAATGCAGTCATAAAGTAAATATGTCAAATATAAATCCGGAATAGCAGAACACTGTGCTGTTCTAAACAATGGCATGAAACAATTTATAGGCTACATGAAATCAATAAAAGTATCGAATAGGCTATATCAGAGGTTTTTAATGAGCGCTTGTGTTTTAAGGATTGTGACCAGGCCTTTCGCACTCTCCAACACAGAAACGAAACTGTAATCTCTCAGAGGACGACACAATAAATGCCTTGAAATGTAAATGAAAGAAAGTCTGATGTATATGGTTTGAACATTCAAGAGAGTTGTCGTGTCTCTTTACTGACCTCCAACACAAAACCGAATTTATCGCGAATGACCAACAACATAAAGACGAAACACGACAGTCTGAGCTGCTAATAGCGATTCTCGTTCTGAGGTGTGCTTGAGGAAAATATCGAGGCCCACTTTTCTGTCTCAAAACAAACTGAGTAGGCTGTACGTTCTCCCGGCAATTTGAATCAACAGGTCACGGGCCCACGCGTGCTTTCCTGCATATCTTCAGATACTAAAATGTCTTGATGTTTTAATAGGTGTTGCATTTAACCATATGGCCAATGAAACATGCATTATGAATACTGTGCACTGTTGCATCTGTTTCACACACCGCTTGTTTAAGCTATCTTCAGCTAAAAAAATAAATTAATTTGGATAAATCATTTTCTTCTGGAAGCAGATATTAAAACATCGTAGCCTATAGCTCGATATTTACTTCGTTACAATTGTCCGTAAATAGGCTACTTAAAAATGGTTAGGCTATGTAGCCATTTAATACATAACAATAAAAAAGAAGCCTTTTCTAATGAATCCGGGCGAGCGATGACTGTGCCCACATTGCAGTGAATAATCGCATGCAAAAGTTTCACGGACACTTAATGTAAGAAAATAGTTGGAGTGCAAAATCCTACCTATTACAAACAAGTCAAAATACAAATGAAAGTCAAACAAACAATAAGTAAAGACACCATGCAGAGTCCAGAGGAGATTTGCACACTTTCCCTCGCCTTCGAAAGAGTCCAGAAAATAGCAGACTCTATTTTCGTCAATATGACATGTGCATTATTGATTTGCCATTCGCAGATGAAGCCGCATACCGAGCCGCAACAGACCCCAGAGGACAAATGCAAGCTCCTAATTTAAGATTATCGGAAGAATTGTCCGTTTTGCGTGATATTCCTTCTGCTATGGCATCCAGCGGACACGGCAGAAAGCTCTGGAGATCTCCACTCTCTCTCTCTCTCTGTGCGTCCTGGGGTCCATGAGCAGTGCTAGAGCGCCCACTATTTCAACAAGCAGGAATATGATTTCACAAGACCTGGAACCACTCAATAAAAAAGTTACTATCCCTTTCGACAACTCTTCGCTAACTTTCGTGTAACAATTCTCTACGGTTTCTCGACTTCGCTAAAACAAGAGAGTGAAACAGCGCGGCGTGGAAACGCGCTCCTGACCATTTCAGCCAAAGCACCATCAACACATACAAGAAACTTCTGAACAAGCACACCACGGCAGCATCTGGTCTAAAGGGTGGACGCCGCGGATCACGGAGAGTTTGAGCGATCTCGATGCAATTGAGGGGCTGAAAAACAAACGCACCGGACAAAGACGCGCTCTCGGCAGGAACTGATCAATGAAAATGGCACTTTGGTGATGTGCGCGAGGGTTCAAAGTACCGGGAGCGAAAGAAGCGCAAGAAGGACCTACTTTTGGCCAGTTTTCTCGCCCTCGCCTTGGATCTCATCTTGTCGGCTTGTAGATTCCTCGCGTCCTCCTTGAGCTCAGAAGCAGCAGCAGCGCTATCTTCATCTCACGAGCATTGTCAGTTTGGACACCTTCGCACATGCGCACAGGCCATTCAATCTGACACCCTCGTCAGGGCCAAAAAACTTTCCAATGTATTCATCATCATCACTTTTTGTCCTATCGTGTCTCCTTTAGATCACTTATCTCTTTCCCTCCTCCTCCACTCGCTCCGCAACATCTGGGATCCCCCCCACCTCCCCTTCTTGAGCTCTCGAGGAGGAATAAGTGCTATTTTCCAGGGACCTGCGGTATCCGGCAGGACGCTGGACATTGGATCCTGGATGGGGTCAAGGTCGCAGCCCTCATATGCAAGGTGATCGCGAACATTTCATACACCCGAGCGACGATTTTAACGCGTGAAAACCTATTGTTCCAAAAAATGTGCAATTGTGTGAAGCGCGTT